TTGTTACACTAAAAATGGAATAACAAGGAGGATTCGAATCTTAGCCATGCTTCTCACATATTTGAAAACACATTTATCTACTTTCACTAGTTTAATTGATAATTTAGGGATTAGTATAGAAAATCAACAAAATTATTTACAATTTGATTAAATTGCAATTTACCTACTTACACTGGTTTAATTGATAATTTAGGGATTAGTATAGAAAATAAAAAAAATTATATGCAATTTGATTAAATTGCAATTAATTTTAACTCAATCAAATACCTAGTCATTGTGAGTTGAACACTTTATTCATCACTTTATTATTTGACCACGATTCTGTGCACTTGTGTGTTTTCAAAGGACCAATTTTTTTGCGCCACTGTCGGGGACTATTGTTTATGATAAGTTTTGTTAATTTTAGTTTTAACCTGAATTTTACTATTTTTTTAGTTTAGTTTATTATACTAGAAAAACTTTATAGTGTCTCCTGCTTCCGTTTTCAGAATCTTGTATGCAAAGTCAAGAATCGGTGCTCAATTTGACCCAAAGATGCTCAATCGTTTTCAAATTTATCCATGTAGATGCTTCTCCTATGGTGTTCAACTTCATCCATGGGTTCAACTTCATCCATGGGAGTTTTATGGTGTCAACCTTGGAGAATTTGAAGATGGTCCCTTTTGGGACCTAGCTTTTCTCCGAAGTGCTTATGCTTCCCCTCATGGTGGACAGTTCATCTATACAAAGGCTTCACTCATGGTGTTCAGTTTCATCCATGGGAGGCTTATGATGTGAACTTTAGAGAATTTGGAGGTGATCCATTCTGGGTTCAACCTCTTCTCCAAGACGTTCAAATTTCCCTACATTGTGGATGGTTCATCCATTCAGAGGGTTTTCCCATGGAATTCAGTTTTATCCATGGGAGGCTTATAATGTCAATCTTGAATAATCTGGACATGATCCCTTTTGGGATTAACCTTTTGTCCAAGGCACTTATGCTTCCCAGCATGGTGGATGGTTCATCCATGCAAAAACTTCTCCCATTGTTTTCAACTTCATCCACGATCGACTTATGATGTCAACCTTGGAGAATTTGAAGGTGATCCCTTTTGGGATCCACCTCTTTTCCGAGGCGCTCATGTTTCCTTGCATGGTGAATGGTTCATTCATGTAGAGACTTGACCAATGGTGTTCAACTTCTTCCTTGGGAGGCTTATGATGTCCATCTTGGAGATTTTGGAGGTTGTCCCTATTAGGATTTGGCTCTTCTCTGAGGCGTTCATACTTCCCTGTATGTTGGATAGTTCATCCATGCAGAAGCTATCTCATGGCGTTCAGCTTCATCCTTGAGAGACTTATGATATCCACCTTGGAGAATTTGGAGGTGATCCCTTTTAGGATCTACCTATTTTTCGAAACACTCATGCTTCCCAACATGGTGGATAGTTCATCCATGCAGAGGTTTCTCCCATCGTGTTCAGCTTTTTCCATGGGAGGCTTATGATGTCAATTTTTGAGAATTTGGAGGTGATCCGTTTTGGGATCCACCTATTCTCAGAGGCCCTCATGCTTCGTTATATGGGGAATGGTTCATCTATATAAAGGTTTCTCCCATGATGTTCAACTTCATCTATAGGAGGCTTATGATGTCACTTTGGAGAATTTGGAGGTGATCCCTTTTAGGATCCAACTCTTCTCTGAGGCGCTTATGGTTCCCTACGTGGTGGATGGTTTTTCCATGTAGATGTTTTTTCCATGGTCTTCAGCTTCATCCATGAGGGCTTAATCTTTATAGGTATTTGAGGCAAGCCTCCATTTGGATGCTTCTCACCGCCCCCTTAAGTGGTTACTTTTTTGCGTTGGAGAGGCTTATCCTTGTCAGGGGTTCATCCATAGTGGATAGTTGATCTATGGAGCTGACATATAAGTGACGATGAGGCCTTATATGTGAGTATGTAAAAATGTCATGTTTGTGCGAAGGCTAAATATGAAAATTGCCTTCAAGCCCTTCATTAATTTCACGCCCAGGTCCCTTAACTTTAGAACTTGTACATTTTACTCCTCATATTTTGTCTTTTATTTCAATCATACCCTTGATAAATTGTATTGAAAGTCCTTTAGCTTTCGAAACATCTACACTTCAATCCTTAAGTTCACATTTTGTGCACTTTTGGTAATTTTCTCTTCTTTTGCATTGTTCCCCTTCAATTTGAAATTTTTTGCTTATCACTTGATAGAGGCGCCCTTTTCAATGCTACTCCTTTTACAGCCTCTCTTTCAAAAGCCTACCATTTGTAAACAGGGTCTTCCAATGGCCACTTCATTAAAGACCTTTTATTTATGGGATTTTATTCAATGTCGCTTCTTCAACGATCTCTCCCCTTTTAGGGTTCATTTTATTCATGGCTATTTCTTTGGAGACCTCTCCCTATCAGGGAGTCTACTTACTCAAAGCCATTTCTTTAGTGGCCTCTCATTTCTTAGGGGGTCTTCTTATTCTTAACCTCTTCTTTGGAGACCTTTTCCTTTTAAGGGGTCTACTTATTTAAGGCTACTTCTTCAATTGCCTTCCTCTTTTCAAGTGGTTTTTTATTCATAGCATCTTCGTTGGAGACCTCCCCTTTCAAGTGATCTACTTATTCAATGCCACTTCTTTAGCGGTCTTTCCCTTTTAGTAGGTCTTCTTATTCATAGTCTTTTCGTTGGAGACCTGCTCCTTTCATGGGTTCAGCAGCCACTCCTTTTTCAAGGGGTCCTATCATTCAAGGCCACTTCTTCTGCGACTTTCCCATTTCATGTGGACTTCTTATTCATGGCCTCTTCGTTGTAGTCCTTCCCCTTTCATAGGGTCTACTTATTCAGAGTCACTTCTTCAACAACCCCCTTTTTCAGGGTCTTTTTATTCATGGCCTCTTCGATGGAGACCTCCCTTATTCTGGGGGTCTTACAAATGGATTTCTACCCCAAGATATTCATTTTTTCAAGAAATATCAGCAATTCAAATACTGTTATCAACTCCAAATCTCTTTCTTGTGGCTTTCACTTATTCTTTCTTCAAGAACAAATCATTTTTTCAAAGGAGAAGCTAAATAAATATTCCGGTAAGCTTTTTCCACAAGAATGTTTATGGTTATAGAGGTGTTTCCCACGGATGGTGTCAATCTATTGACATCATTTTTTGTAATGGTTACGTGAACAAAAGATGTCGAGCAAATTTCAACAAGTTTTATGTTGCGAGAAAAAAATGTTCAAGCACTGATAATATGATCAAAGATGATTGCATATAAATAAACAATCATAAACAACTCAATAAAAGTAGGAGTAATATAAACTCAAGTAAATAAATATGGAATAAGTAAACGAGAAGATTGAGTGTGGTTTCAAGTGTAAAGGGTTGCATTATTTTTCAAATCGCATAAGTTGTGAGCTTTTATAGAATTCTGGCTTACGTGGTAGTCACTGGATAAGAACTATGTTGCCTCATCTCTCAGGTTGAAGCCTCATGTCACTGAGTCTGCTATGTATTTAATATATTGACAACGAGCTAGCAACTCTATACCCTAGGTGACAATCGTAACATTCATTATTATAAATGCTACATCAATTATTTCTAAAGATTACCTGTAAATCCTCTAAAAAACAGCAAGGGCTTCAGCCTGAGGGAGTTTTGGATTAGTGCGAAGGCTTTGGCCAAAATGAGCTTCTTATTGGAGGTCTTCGGTGTGAAGGGACAGAGAACTTTGGTTTCTTCTATAACTTCTTATAAAGTGCTTCGATTTCAGAGATTCGGCCACTTAGATAGTGCTTCGTCTTCAGATCTTCAGCCACTTAAATAGTGCTTCCGCTTCTTCTTGAGCCTTGGTTTTGAGGCGAAACAGAAACCATACATTTATGTTTCTGTATTTTTCACCGGATATCCATTGCTCTTCGTCATTATGTAAGTTCAGGTCATGTTTGTAATATCCCTTGTTATAAAGAACCCAAAAAAGTTAAGGAAGGTATCCTAGTTTCCTGAAAGAATGCTTGAATACTTGTATCTGAGTTCTTGGGGGCTTAATTAAAACTAGCATTGTCCTATAATGAGAATTTATAAGCAAATTTCTCGACTAAAATGATCAGAAGTATTAAGAACGAAAAAAAAAAATTAAAGAATTAGATTTTGAAATTTTGCGAGCTAATTTTTATCACTGATATTCCCTTGGATGGACAGCCAATACAGGATAATTATTTATCTACTCACTTGCTCATACTTATTTTAGGTTTTTAAGTTGTACGTCAGCAGAAATGTTTTCTAATGGGTGCCTTTTCTAATCACATTACCAAGGTTGGAATTGAACGGTTAATCTTAATTTTTGTTACATTTTTCACAGGTACAAAGGGAAGAAAGTGTTTTCATCTTGCTTAAATTAGTATTCCTAGATGAATCAGATACCAGCAGGATATGTGAGTTTTAATCATGCTACAATGGAATAATTCTTGACATAATACCACATGACATTTCATTATTGTTTAAAAACAGTAGTAAGTTTTTCCATCAATACGTCTGCTGCGACCTCGGATTATGTCATTGCATGTGTTACATTTCTTATCCGTTTTAACATTATGACAATGTTAGTGTAAACAAAATGACCTAAAATCTTCCTATTGAAACTTTGATTTACAAAGTAATAATAATAAAAAAATATGGATTAATTCTAGGCAGTGACATTGCAAAATTGGTTCATTTCTTAACGTCCCTTTGATGTGCTTTCCGTGTTGATGAAGATGAAAATATTTGACCTTTTGTGCTGATTTCCATGAATATCATCCTTGGTGTTGACAGTTTAGCTCTTATCAGCCCAAGACTCCCCAGAAGAGCACGAAGGAGTGAAAGAATATCAGTTCTACCGTTGCCATCACAATTCGTTAATCTCACCTGCTCTGCAGTTACCGACCCATAAGTACATAGGTGAGTTCTTTTTCGAAGGTAAAATTCTACAACAGTCCCTCCTTGGTGACTGCAAAACACCGAAACGGATTCAGTTATTTGCAATGAAAATTAGTTCTTGGTATCGAATCATTGAACGAAAAGATTCATTTGCAAGTGCTGAACTTACCCTCTTCCAACGGCTGCTATCAGGCCTTTTCAGGACAACTATGGAATTGAGTTTTTCAGGTGGTTCACTTTTCCACCGGCAAAACGGATGCGATTCCTTGTGACGGTTGTAAACACCAATTATTTGTCTCCTCTTTTCATCGTATTTCGTTGAGTTCATGTAATACAAGAAAGGCTTCTGGCAAGGGTGCCTACTGACAGGCCTCGTATTGAATGCATATGCCGTGTAATCAGCTCTTCTGTACCAGTTAAGAAATGTTCGTGTTGGCATTTCCAGCTCTCTCGGGGACATAATTCCTCGAATGATTTGAACGACGAAGCCCCATGAGATGGAGATTGACCAGTACCGTTGCTTATCGTAGCAGATTGATTGCTGAATTATGCTGGCGGAATCTTGCTTCACTGATTCAAACAGGTGTTTGAGGCCTTGAACTCGAGTTTTGCCCGGAAATATTGGATCCACTACATCAAGATGGTGAAGTGACACCAATGGAGCCACAGGGTGAGCTCCCAAGAGGCCTAATAGGTTTCCATACACATCATACTGCATTTCAAGAGAACAATAATTACTGTACTTGCAAATACTTGGTCTAAGATTACTTGTAAATTAAGAAAAACAGATTCGATTAAAATGTATGCATTGTCATTGATGAAATAAAGGACTGTGATCAAAGCAATATTACTGCTAACTATGATTTCCAATAATTTGATACCTTTGCTCTTGCATTATCTGCACAGTGATTATAATAACAATGGGAATCTAGAAGCATGTTTGGCTTGGTTTATGTTGACCCCAAAAAATGTTGCCAACAGGTGCCTGGCCCACTCGTGCACACGCAAGCTTGATCCAACACGCTAATGTCGATCGACGGTCATGATGGCTCCAAATAAAAGGCGTGGGAGTGGCTAGAAGG